CACTCTTTCACAGCCTGGATAATCACAAGAGAACGGCTTTTTCTCCTCATGAAAAGAGAGGATATGGCTTTGAAGGTTAAATACAGTTGTGTAAGTTCTCCCACATCCTTCTCTTGGGCATCGGCAGACTTCCCTGTCCACAGCGTGTGTTTTTTGATGCTGTTTGAGGTAATCTTTCCGTTTAAAGGTTTTGTTACACTCGCTGCAAACTATCGGCTCTGAGTAGGAGAGAAACAGGCAGAGTATAATTCAACAGCTTCTTACAGGAGCTCAAACCCTAGTAGTCCTTTAGAAAAATGCTGTTCTAGAGGACCACATGAAACACAAAGAACTCGGAGACTGAAGAAAATAATGCAGTACGAATCATTCAGATCTGAAATCCTACATTATACAATTTCTTGCTAATTGGATCACAAGTCATTATACTGAGTAGCATTTTTATCAGTTAAAGGCCTGGCCAGAGTGACAGACATTTTACTGATAAAGTGTCAATAAGCAAATTTGTCTAGACACAATGACAGGTTGATGAAATTAATTCAGTAAGGACTCCTCTCCAAATCAGCAGTTTGTTTCCTATTTCTATCAAAAGTTAAGTTTTATTCACTAAAGCATTTGGAGTTTACCTGTATGACTCTCTTTATTATGTTTCAGAAGCTCTGTCCAAGTTTTTCCAGTATATGAGCAGTTTTCTTTCTTGCAAGCATAGCCTGTTGGACAGGACAGATGTTTCAAATCAGAGAGGTTCTGGCAAACAGTCTAGTTTTACAAAGGGGAACTCCACTTACTAGCCTTTGAAAACTAAAGGCCAGTATTCCTCCTCTCCTTCTGTACTGCACAGTGACGGGACAAGAGGCAACAAATACAAATTATAACATGAGAAAATCTTAAGGGTGTTAAGAAAGAAACCTTGTATCACTGACACAAGTTGTCTGGAGAGGCTGTGGAGTCCCCACCCCGGGAAACATTCCAAAATTGGAGGCAAAGCCAGCAACCTGGTATAACTGACCCACCCTGAGCAGGCAGTTGGATCAGATGACTTCCAGAGGTCCTTTCCAACCTAAAAGATTTTATGAAACTCTAGCTCTCCTTGCTTCAGTAAAACTACTTCCTCACCAGCCATACACTTTCACTCAAATAGATGAAAATAACTGTAACAATATATATTATTTCTATATAAATATTTGTATTACAAATAAAAACCAAGACCTTGAACACATTCCAGAGTCTCAAGAGACTCTACCATTCTATCAAGCAGACAGGATGGTTTTTAAATGAACCACAGGAAGTCAACACTTTTAAAATCCCAGGACTGGAAAGGTCAACCAACTATGAACAAGACCCTGTCTTAAGAAAGGAATGCAGTACAAATTGCAGCTTTTTGGATACTCTTCTTAGTCCCTTGGGTTTGTTTGTTTGGTGTTTTTTTTCTATCACTGGAAAGCAGGTTAGTACTGAAAGGATGGACAGGAGTGTAGCAGGACTGGCTCAAACATACATAACCACCTTCTGATGATTCCACTTAAATCTCTTTCACATAGGTACATAACAACTTAAACACTGCAAGCCTACACGCTTCTGCCAAGGCTTCACAGGAAGTTTGAGGCAGAACTGGCAACTCATCCTGACCTCTGGAGGTCTAGGCTAGCGCCTTAACCATTAGCCTATCTCCAGAAGATGGATTATTGACAAGGAAGCACATTAGGAGAACAAATGGCTGAAGGAATCCCGAGCTCTGGTCAGCCTGCCACAAGTACACTGCAATGGAACACTGCAATGCCTTGCAATTGTATCCCATTGTACTATCCTGAAGGGGTGTTCTGGTTTTGTCTGTCTGGATCACTAGGCCCAGAATACTTTCATGTCTGTCATACATCCCAGCATACTCTCTGTCTGGGGAGAAGTCCTTTTTTGGTTGCTAAAACCTAACTAAAGCAGGAAGAAAAACTGTTATTACCTTCATGTATCTTCTCATGCCGCTTTAGTCGACTTGGAGTAGAAAAATGTTTTCCACATCCTTCGTTATTACATCTAGGTATAAAGTACATTGGTTTAGTTTCTTTTCAATGCATCTGCATATTTTTTGTTCTTTCAGTCAAGAATGATTAAAGTGGACAAAATAATTCAAGTGTCCCCTCGCCTGGAGACCTGTTCTGTCCCCCTCCTGCTCTGCAAAAGTAAATTCCATAACATGATTCTAATAGAGGACTCTGATCACCTTGAGAGTCAAAACCTATAGTACGATTTCCACATACACAGCAAGTTAAGCTTTAGCTAAAGAATCAAGCCTCATATCATCCTTACCCAGCAGGCTCTTCAAAAATAAGAGAGATAGAAAGTAAAGGGTTTAGTGGCTTGTACAGATCTAGCAGCCAGAGCAGCAGCAGAGCACTGACAGTATTTTTGTGCCTGTCACCCTGCCATACTAGTGCACTTCACTTACATGAATGCTCCCATTAAGTGTTTTCCACCTACAAGAACAAGTCTAAACTTTGCTTTAACCAGATCTATACTGATGTGTCATATAAATAATGGAGTTGCAATGCACAGGTTCTCAGATTCATGTCCAAGCCTCTCACCTTTTTTTAAGCTACTACTCACTTCAATGTTAGCCAAGTCACTGCTTTTTACTGGAAAACAGAGGTAGCTGCATTTCTGATTACTGTTCAAGCTCTTGTGCTTCTATTTCAGACTGTGTGAACTCAAAACTGGGTTTTTTATTTTTTCTGTGAATCTGTAATAAATCCTAAGAAAATGTCTGGAATGCTGAAGTTACAGAGCACCTGGGTATATTAAAAAGAGCATGGCCAGCAGGTTGAGGGAGGTTCTCCTCCCCCTCTACTCTGCCCAGATGTGGTAAGACCACATCTGAAATACTGTGTCCCGTTCTGGGCTCCTCAGTTCAAGAGGGACAGGGATCTTCTGGAGAGAGTCCAGCAGAGGCCACAAAGATGATGAGGGGCCTGGAGCATCTCCCATATGAGGAGAGGCTGAGAGAGCTGGGACTCTTCAGCCTGGAGAAGAGAAGACTGAGAGGGGATCTTATCAGTGTCTATAAATATCTGAAGTGTGGGGGCCAAATGGATGGGGCCGGGGTCTTTTCAGCAGTACCCAGTGACAGGACAAGGGGCAATGGGCAAAAACTGGAACACTGAAAGTTCCAGACAAACTTAAGGAAAAACTTCTTTACTGTGAGGGTGACGGAGCACTGGAACAGGCTGCCCAGAGAGGTTGTGGAGTCTCCATCTCTGGAGATGTTCAAAACCCACCTGGACACTTTCCTGTGCAACCTGTTGTAGGGAACTTGCTTTGGCAGGGGGGTTGGACTAGATGATCTCCTGAGGTCCCTTCCAACCTCTACAATTCTGTGACCAAGACTGTTGCTCAAAACAAGACTACTGAGCACAGGACTAGTAAAAGAAATGTACTTGCAGCCATGACTACAAATTCATGCTGTGTTTTTTAAATGCCACATATATGAAAAGGTTGAGAAAAGGCACCCGTTTTCATCTACAGTGTCTAAATGGAATTGTTAAAGTTCATTATTAAGATTATCCACCTACTTGAAGGGATGTTCGCTGGTGTGGTGACACTGATGAACTTTAAGTTGTTGATGTTTCCTGAAGGACTCATTACAGCCTTCAAAGTCGCACTATTTAGGAAATTAAGTTATCATTAGAGGCCAAATAATGACAGCCCAGTTCACATGTGTTTGCTGAAATCCCAGTCACAGTATTTGAACTCATACAAGCACCACATAATAACAACTTGAAATATTTCCCTAGGTACACAAAAAGGAGACTGTTTAGACTCCATTTTACAGTATCAAAGGTAATTACTTACCACATATTGCTTCTGCCGATTTTCATGCTTGCGCTCAATGTGTTTCTTTAGGTTTGATTTTGTTCCAAATTTTCCACTGCATCCATCAGCTGTGCACCTGCAAATGAACTGCATTTTTCATAATCACTCTCAAACAGCGATTTGTTTCCTAAGCAGATACAGAAATCATTGGACAAGAGGAATACAGAAAGAATAACTGAAACTCACAGCCCAAATATAAAAATTTGCTTTAAGAACATGAAAAGCCACAGGCTAAGTTACAATCAAAAGCCACAGGAAAACATATCTGAAGAGATTTTTACTAAAACATGTAGGAATTCCCAGCTCCTAATCCATGACATGCAGCTGTTAAGGGCTTAGTAATAGGAGATAACTGCCCTTCCTTTAATTCTGTGTCCTAGGGAGAGATCTGCCCATTCCCTTAAGCACCTCTCACGGGTCACTGCCAGGCAGGAGGTTTTAGGCTAAGGAGATTCCCCGTCTCACCCTGCCCCTGCCCCTGCCCGCACACCGCAGTGGCAGCGCCCGTCGCACCAGCGCTGGGCACACACGCTCGGCACCGCCCGCGCCAGTTTTAACTCCCCTTTAGCTCCAGAACGACAAGCGTCACCCAGTCAAAGAAATAAAACAAAATCTGCCCTTACTGGAACGGCTTCTCCCCGGTGTGCGTGAGGAGGTGTCGAGCGCGGTGGAAGTCTCTGGTGAAACCCTTACCGCAGCCTTCGTAATCGCACACGTAGGG